TTACTCTTCTGTAGTTTTCCACTTCTGTAGCTCCACTTCTCTTTGTTGTTGTTGTTGTTGTTGTTGTTGTTGTTGGCACTCAACTTATTCTAAAGTGATGCTGTTAATATTGTCTGTTGTGATATTTCATGATACCCGTACTATAGCTACTTCTCATACTAGCGGAGTAGCTTGCCGTCGCCCCATTGCTGTTCCATTGCAACGACACTGTATGCTTGTTGCTTTTACTGTTAAAGCCGTTTGTGGATCTCACGCCTTCGTAAATATGTATATTTGTCTGCATCTTGTTGATGGTTGGGATTATTTTGTGGGAATTTATATGCAGCAGCAATAACTTTGTTAAAGCATGCTAACGGATTCACACTGCGTATGGGAATGAATAACTATTATAGATAAATGGTAGTAGGTACCCAGTGGGGAAAATCTCTAGTTTTGAACTGGTGCGCTTCTTGTACATTTAGACCCACTACAGTCCTGATTTTGACAGATGGGAACTAGTTCTCTCTGCATCGCTTTTCCTATACATAGTTCCGAACCAGTTCTAAATTCGTCAAATAAGATATCAAAATAAATTTTTTTTAGAAAAGGCGAACTCAGTAGCATTTTTTTGTCTACTAGCTAGCGATATGTGGTTTTAAATAGTACAACTAAATTATTTTTTTAGTTTTTGAAATGTACCACATAGTTACTATCGGGCTGGTTCGTTTTTGGTAATAAGCTAGAAATTTGGTTCACAAGTTCAGGGTTTCCCTGCAGGGGTATACCTACATAGGTATATATACACATGTTAGTATGGTGCGGCATATATATGTGGATATACAAACATATAGTTATAAAATGGACAAGGTGCCATAACACGACGAGAACAAAAGGACAAGCAGAGGCAACTGAATTGCAAGTTGAGCAAATACAAAAACAGCAAGGAATTGGCAAAAGAAGGACACAAACGCTTGTGGGCCTTTTATAAGCCGGCATATACATAAACACCTATGCGTGGCACATAGCCACTACATAAATATGTGTGTATGTATTTATTTAGCCATACTGGCCTCTTTTGGAGTTAGCTTGCTTATAATTGCATACAAAAATAAAATCCATTTCACATGCATATGTACATACATATATCGCTGATTGAGAGTGAAAAGTTGCTAAGTTCAGTTTTTCAAATCTCTACCGTAGAGAAAAAAATCCCGACCTCATTTTCTTAACATTCTTTGCACTAATTATGTGAAAAATTATTTTTATTATTTTTTATATTATTTTTCCTTATTTTCACACGACACAACATTGAGCAGAAACGTATTTAGTTACTTTTACCTCACGAAATATTTTACATAAGTACAAAAGTACTTAGTATTTATGGCTCCACTTAAAACTGTGTACAAAAGTAAGCTCAAGAAGTCCCGAAAATCCCGAAACAATACCGAAAAATCCCGGAAAACTTCCTAATGATCCCGGAAAATACAGCACGAAGTATGCAAAAAAATCTTCATAAGAAATCTGCAATATTCCCAAAAGGTAAAACACAAAGAATTGTAAAAAAAAAACAAAAAATGGAACCTGAGAATATCCTGAAAAGTTTGGAGAAATCCCGAAATCTCCGAAGCGCCATCAATAAAAAAAATTTGATTACTGTTTCTCTTCCTGCAACGCTAGCTATTTATAAGTCTACTAAATAGCTTAGTACTTTAGTATTTAGCAGTCTCTTAATATCTAGGTTTTTTAATATAGAATTTAGGTATCTACAAAAACGAAGGATACGAATATTAAGTATCCCTACAGGTACGTTAAATACAAAAGTATTTAAGTACTCCTATGCCCATCAATGATTTTGAAAAACTTTAACACAAAATTTTGCAGATTCAATGCAAAAAATGCCATACAAATCGTATTCTTTTGGGCTTGACGAATTTTTGGGGGCCTTCTTTGGACTTAGGAAACTTACGTTTCATTGAATGGAAATAGAATAGGAAACGCAGCCGGTAATTCTAACTCTTGGAAAACGTTACATTTGTCATTGTCCTTGCTTTCTACATCAAAGAATTTATTTTCATTAACAGTGAACTTAGCAACTTTTTACTCAATTTGCAATTACTTATACTCCCACTTACAAATTAATATGTAAACAAACATACATATGAATGTAACTAGATGTTTGCTTTTATTTTCCTCTCTTACATATATACATCTATTTGAATAAATGTATGTATATGCATATGTAAATTGTATAAACCTATATGAGTAGAAATAAGTATGTATGTACACATATTTATACCCATGTCTTTTTGATCGCATTTTTATTCTGATTTAAACTGAACCTTAGTGGGTGCATACCGAGGTTAAAAAGATTACAAGTACGGATATATATGTATATGTACATATGTATGAACAAACTTGTCTACACAATAAACATTTTTGTTAAATCTCTATTTGAGATGCCTCAGTCCTTTTCTCAAATTTCCAACGTTAATTCTCAAATGCATCTCAAATAACCATTTATAGTATTCTCAAATTAAGAGGCATATATTTAATATGAAATTTTTTATTTTCAAATTGAGAAATGTGGAATTCTCAACTTTTTCTCAAACATGAGTGGAGCGGAACGAAATCAAATCCAGTTACTCTGATTGAAATATTTTTGTATAGTGTTGCGAAACACCCTTTTTATAGGAAAGGAATTTTTATTTATGCAGTTTAACAATTTATTTAATAACTTCTTAACTCAGTTAGTTTAACAAAGAAAAATACGGTTGATGTAAAAAAAATGTGTTGCATAGTTTGTTTTGAAATTAGACAAATTGCGAATAACAGCGACCGCGTGGCAGAAGCGCCATTTTGCGACTGATGTAGCAGACTACCGATGGCACCCGACATCTGTGCCATGTTGACACAGATGGAACGGAACGGAATGCTAAAATTTTTTTTTTAAATGTTTCTCAAACCGTTCTTAAATTGATAAATAATGTTTGAGAAAAATTTTGAGAAAAACTTTAGTCGCAAATTATAAACAATGATGAAAATCAAATTGAGAAATACGATTTTCTCAAGCGTTTGAAAATTTTTTTTCCAGTGTTTGTTGGGTATTATGTTGTACGTACGCAAATTATTTCATGCCTGTCCATACACACATGATAGTAACAGAACTTAAATTTGTGTGTGTAAATAATAAATGCATTTATTTAGCACACACTCATAGACTAGCAGGATTATTTTACAAGCCCCTTCTTTGCAACATGCAAAGCTTCCACAACTACTAGATACATATTACCGGGTTGCACTTGTATGTAGTATAAGATCGCAAAGCGATGCACACAAGTGAACTTAGAAAGGAAAAGGCTTTTGCAGCCTGAGTTTAGGTTATAATTTGCAAAATTTCCAAGTTTTCTAAGATATTTTTTTTCAATATGTGGAACTATTAGGGTTCATCTACATCTAAATATTAGGGTGAATAAAATGATGAAATAGAGAAAATATGGTTTGTATTCTTTGCTTTGCTTTGTATTGACCCTTTGACTCCACAAGAAACCAAAACAGAAAAATGCACGAAATGTGCTTCATATGTTTGGCACAACTTCGTGCGAAGGAGAAACGATTTTATTTCTTATATTTTCTATTGGATTTTAATTGTATAAAAAAAAAAAATATCTTATAAAACGTCAAAAAATGTAAACAACCTTCACTGTTGCGCCCTCTGGTGGATGTGTAAGAACGAGATAAATTCAGTATTGCATTCCTGATAACAAAAATCCTCTTATAGCATGGTTTCATAAAAAATTCACACTTATAAACGACACTATAGCAAAAAAAAACTTTGCTACGGAAAATAGCCATTTTCGTAATTTTGCAAGCTCGAAATTTATTTTAGACTAATGAGTTCTTCAGTAAACTTGTTTAGAATTTCACCTACCCTAACATACATACATACATATTTATGCATATTTTATGTAAGTGCATGAAGCAGGAGCGAAATACGTATCGTAGGTATGTACATTAGGGTGGTCCAAAATATGTAAAGTAGGAATTTTAATGCTCTCACCCCCTAGGATTGTTCTATATCGAAAAAAAGTATACCCCTATTTTTAATTTTGAAATCAAAAAATGTTTAGGGGGCGCTCAAAGCGCTACAACTTTGCCATATATTTTGTATGGGAAAAAAACAACTTTTCGTGTAAATGGTATAGAATTCTTGAAAATCAATATTTTTCGATCGGAAAACTCTGGTTTTCTTTAGAAGACTTCCAGTCACAATATCCAATTATTTATTCAACCATTCCTTAATAATGAAGATTTTTTTATTTATACCCCCAATGCACTTTTTGGCATTTTCTAGAGGGTTTTGGCGGTCCTATTAAATATATTTACTAAGAAAAAATTGTTAAAAAAATAATTGGGTTTTGTTATTGGGAATCCGTTGGAGACAAACATAGTCTTCCGATCGAAAAATATTGATTTTCAAGAATCCCATACCGTTTCCACGTAAAGTTCCTATTTGCCCATACAAAATACATGGAAAACTTTGAAAAATAGGGGTATACTTTTTTCGATATAGGTCCATCCTAGGGGGTGAGAGCATAAAAATTCCGACTTTACTTTTTTTTTACATGCATTTCTAGACCACCCTAATGTAAATACATATGTACTACATGTTCTTGTATAATCTCCAGCAAGTGTGGCAAAATAAATTAAGCTTACATTTGCAGTGTTTCACATGCAATCTTAGGAATTTATTTAGACACCACTAAAATTGTCAGACAAACACCACAAAAAGCAATATAATTGTTATTCAAACATCGCTGTGATTGGACGATTTCACATGCACATACATATTTATTTACATATAAATACTTATTTAGAAATGTATGCACATCTATGGCAAACAAAATACATATAGCATATTAGTATGTATGTAGATAAATATATCTTGCAGCTCTTGTCGGCAGTTTTCTTTCGCATTTTTTATTCTCAATTATCCTATTCGGTTTTATTCTGTTTACTTTCAGATTCAAATATTCGGCTACAATTCACAACTCTATGCAAACTTTTCGGACGCTTTGAATCGAGCGCAAGGCATTGTTGGTGTATCAATTTTGCTGCAGGTGAGTATGTATATTGTTTGGAAAGAAAAACTTTACGCAGACTTTGTACTACGGCAAAAGTTTGCCATTGAATACAAATGCATAGTACTAGGTATAATATATTTATCGGAGCAGAATAAAATAAGTATGTGTTTTCGTATGGCAATGAATAAGCGAAGCTTTGACTTTACATTAAATGAGTTATTCGGTTAAAATTTAAGAAATTATTTATTAGAAGAGCGCTGTATACATATTTACATATGTATATGTATATATTATTATTTCAAGCGATAAAACATTATTAAAGCTTTTGAAAGGACTCATTTGAAATTGTTATATAATTAGTGATCGGCAAAAAAAATATGCTTTGCTTAGCATCATGATTACACTTAAACTTTAACGAAAAGTTTTAAATAAATTTACTGAACAAATTCACTCATCAACCACCTTTGGAAAAAAACGTTAATTTTCCCGCAGTCCAGAGAACCCAAACTTGATTGGTGAGACAAAGAGTACTTAGCTTTTCAAGGCACTCCATCACCAGTTTAAAAGTTACCTGATGAGTTCTGAGGACCTGAAGCGGCTATGTCTTTCCGTCAAGATTACGGTGTTCTGTTAGTTTCCCCTGATATTAGAGTCCGCTTATTGTTCTATAGCATTTGTTTCAGCCTGCAAAATGGATACATTTTTTCCCATGGGTTTCGAGTATCTAAGCTAGTGAGATGAATAAGTAGAAAAACTAATGCATATTTGCATACGAAAAGCTAACTTTATTCGCCGGAAAATAATTAAAGCAGACTAGATCAAATTCTGATAGAAGCAAACAGGTCAGCTAGTTGCCGCAACCAGGCCTGCATTTGGTTGCAGATATCCTTTGACCTACGTAGCTCCCTGTTTCAAATGACATTTAAGCCATGGGTGTCTAGGTACGTTGATTATGGGAAGGGAAGTCTAAGCTAACTAACTTACTGACTTTTGTGACACAGCCTGCACTCCCAGGTTTGACAAGTGTTTCATTACCCTGCAGTGATTAGTAAAAAAGCCTGTAAAAATTCTTAGTTGGTGCCTAATAAGATAAGAGAATAATTCTAGGATGAAGGACTTGGCATGATTGTTACCTTTCGCACATTTCCAGTAAAGTTGCGATTTCATTCAAATCCAATAATTCCGACACAAAAGACCGCTTCCCACTGATCTAAGTGGAGACGAAGACTCAGCGAAAGCGTATCACTAAGAATAATTCCCAGATAGTTAGCTTCTTTATAAAATTTATAAAAGTCTAACTTCTGCGCTTGAAAAAACTTTCTCAGAAATTTATCACTTTCCGTTTTTAAGGAGAATATAATTATATTAATCTTCTTAGGGCTCAAATTAATTAATTTTTACTACACTAACTGGCTTCTATGTTCAACGCATTCTTAACTTACTCAAACTTACCTCTGGTTGGAGTTGCAATGCCATCCATGTAGCCATGAATATCGAATTGTTTTACACTAAGAAGACAGACTCGTTCATCTACTACGGTAGACTACAGAAGAGTAGATATAACTTCACCCTGTGGGAATACTTTCATAGCAATTTTCTCACAGAGAATAGTTCGTGTGCCAAAATACCAAGGAGCAAGCTTCGGTCACTTCTTTGTTCTCCATGGACTTCTAAATGTTCTACAAGACTCTGAAGAGCACAAATGGAAAAAAAACTGCTCCGTGGTAACCTTACCCCCCTTTCGGGCGCCAACTGCGATTTAACCTTTTAAACTCCGATTTTTCTTATATATTAAGGTNATAATATTTCAAGCGATAAAACATTATTAAAGCTTTTGAAAGGACTTATTTGAAATTGTTATATAATTAGTGATCGGCAAAAAAAAAATATGCTTTGCTTAGCATCATGATTACACTTAAACTTTAACGAAAAGTTTTAAATAAATTTACTGAACAAATTCAGTCATCAACCACCTTTGGAAAAAAACGTTAATTTTCCCGCAGTCCAGAGAACCCAAACTCGATTGGTGAGACAAAGAGTACTTAGCTTTTCAAGGCACTCCATCACCAGTTTAAAAGTTACCTGATGAGTTCTGAGGACCTGAAGCGGCTATGGCTTTCCGTCAAGATTACGGTGTTCTGTTAGTTTCCCCTGATATTAGAGTCCGCTTATTATTCTATAGCATTTGTTTCAGCCTGCAAAATGGATACATTTTTTCCCATGGGTTTCGAGTATCTAAGCTAGTGAGATAAAAAACTGCTCCGTGGTAACCTTACCCCCCTTTCGGGCACCAACTGCGATTTAACCTTTTAAACTCCGATTTTTCTTATATATTAAGGTTTATCTCCTTGAAGCTATTTACCATATTCTTAGATAGTACTATATAAAACTGATACCTGTGTCTCTTTTATTTGCAAAAAAAGTAAATAATAGAAAAGATGGTCGAATTCCACATCACCTTAGCTACGAAATTTTTGTTCATCAATATGTTTATCGCTTAAAAGTTCTTCAAATTTAAACTTCACTTATATAAAACTTATAATTTCAGCTCGGCGATCTATCTAATCCCGAACTGCGTATGCTCACCGACCAATTGGATCGCATACGCTTCGGTGGTGATGAAGCATTCGTCAAACGCTTATCCATACGCGGTCTACTGCCGGAAACGGATCAATATATGACCTATGATGGATCAACAACAGCGCCCGCCTGTCATGAGACTGTCACATGGGTTGTGTTGAATAAACCCATTTATATAACAAAGCAACAGGTAAGTTCCAATGATACTCACTAAAAAACGTGTAAAGTTAAAGCAAAGTTTATTTAACTAAATATAATTATTTTCGNGATACTCACTAAAAAAGTGTAAAATCAAACAAAAATTTATTTAAGTAAATATAATTATTTTCGGTATGAACAAAATAAACTTACAAACGTTGATTGGCGTACAGTTTTTTTTTTTTTTTTTTTTTGTAATAGAAGATGACTTGGCTGAGGTCCTCTCTGCAATAAATACACTTTTTTACTCTTGCTCACTTTTTCGTATTGCTTGTGCGCTTGATGGAATTGTCACTTACGGGAGTTCTGTCATGGGTGTGGCAAACCAAATGTCAACATAAATGTTTAAAAAATTCTTTACCTCAGGAAATACTTTAATTCGGCGGATACCAGGCAATCTCAAAGGATTTACACAATCACAGTTGGTTGGTGATGAGGCGTGTGCCACGTATAGTAAGCTTGCGCCTACAAAGCGTATGAGCAACTACGTTTTTTTATTAAATGTGTTTATGTATGTATGTTTGCTGCGGATTGAAGCAACAATAAAAGCAGCGCAACCTTTAACAGCTAAGACTGAATCGCTTACTTACTGACTGACTAATGATGATGATGACAATAGCGATGACTTTGATGATTATTCGGATCAAGTCGGGGAGGACAGTGTGTTAAGAATGTGGTGAATAATATTGAAGGCGTTTATTTCGAGATTAAAAATTAAGTAAAATAAAATAAACTAAAATTAAAACAAAAAATTAAAGATTGAAATTAAAATAAAAACAAAATGAAAAGAAATCAAATGGAGTAAAAAATAAAAATGAAGTAAAAATTTAATTAAAACTATACATAAATGAAATTATTTAAAGTAAAATAGAGTCTAACACAAAATTAAAAAATATACAAAATAGAATAAAATTAAATTAAATCAAATTAAATTAACTTAAATTAAATAAAAGTGCGAAGTAAAAAAAATATAAAAATATATAAAAATCATATAATAAAAGGAGATTAAAATAAAACGAGATAAAAAAAATTTAATAAAATGAGAACAAACAAACTAAAATTTAAACTACCAAATAAGAAAAAAAAATTTAAATTGAATGTAGTAAAATAAAATAAAAATAACAAGCTAATACTAAATTAAAGGTTAAATAAAAAAATTTAATGAAAAGATATTATAAAATAAAAAAAAGCCTATAAAGCAAAATAGAAAATCAAATAAAACAAACTAAACTTAAAATTTGTAAATTGTATAAAAACAGAAATGAAAAGACTAGGTAATAAGTAAAAGTTAACTTGATATAAATAAAAATGTAATTAAGAAAAGTTTAAATTAAAATTAACCCTCTACTGCCTAAGAAGCCAAATATGGTGTAATTTGTTGACAATTTTTTCCAATTAATGAATGTTACAAAAACGTATCAAACTATTTAATTGCATTGGGATGTTAACCAGTAACGTAACGTAACCGGTTTACCTGTGGTTAGACGATATTTGAATATAACTTCATTTTTTTTTGTGTGCATGGAACTCAACTGCAAAAGAAAAACTAACGAATTCACACTCTCTGTGTCAATGAATAAATATTTTACTACTGCCCAACTCTTTTCTATTGTTTTCATGAAACTGTCCATAGATTTGTCACTTGAAATTTAACATAAATTACTTAAGGTGGTTTTTTCTTTCGATATAAGTTTACTGACACGTACACAAGGAGCTTTTCACAGTTAAATTTTTAGTATTCGTCTCATTCATAATTAATGAAGTATAAATTTAAAACAGGAAATAAGAATTACCTTAAAGCAAAAATAAATTACATCAAAACAGAGTTAAAAAATCTATATTAATTAAAAGAATATGAAAATTAAAAATGGAATAAAACACAGCAAAAGAAATGAACAAAAAATATATATGTTTAAAAAAAAGTTATTAAAATTAAGTAAAAAAATANGAGCAAAAGAAAAAAAAATATATATGTTTAAAAAAAAGTTATTAAAATTAAGTAAAAAAATAAAAATTTAATTTTAGTATAAAAAAAAATAAATCAAAAAAGGTAGTAAAAGAAGTTTATTGAATGAGAAGAATAGGGAAATTAAAAATGGAATAAAACACAGTAAAATTAGGGGGCAAAAAAATCATTAAAGCAAAAAAGAATATATGAAAAATTAAAAAAAAAGAAATAAAAATTAAAAGTAATAAAATTAGAATACATAAATTAAAAACAAAATAGCATGTAAACAAAAAATTAGAAAACGAAGTAATAAAAAAACTAATTTAAAGAAAAGAAATTATAATATATCTACATAAAATAAGAAGAGAATAGGATTCAATTAAAATAACGTAAAAAAATAAAATTAAAAGATAAAAATAAATGAAAAAATTAACAAAGAATAAAATTAAGAAAAACTGATGAACAATAAATAAAATATGAATTAATTTGCATAAATTAACATAAATAATTATATAAAAAAGTTGTCGTTGGAACCATATACCTTGATAAAGAATAGCCACTATAGAAACATACCTTATATTTAATTACGTAAATACTCATTTTGGGCGCTGTAGATCCAGATAAAACACTTACAAGCGATGCAAAATTAAAATTGTTGCGCCACACGGTGCGCGAACAACAACCTCGTTGACTCCCAAACTGTCAACGGCAGAGTGACACTGATAGGCTGCTTGACACATTTTGGTCATGCCACAATTTTCCAGCCTTCTATTATTCAGCCGCTGGAATTGTTGTTTTCTGAAAGAGCATGCTTGCGTACTTGTATACACAGGGGGGAGGACTCGTACAAACAAAAGTGGATCACATACATATTTATGTAAGGGGGGAGGACTCGTACAAACAAAAGTGGATCACATACATATTTATGTGCATATGTATGTATGAACATCTCCCTCGTTATGTGGCGCCCAGCTTGTCTCACAGCACGCACAATTTCAATTGTCTGTCTAGAAGGTTGCCGCCGCCGGTGACTGTAGGGTAAAGTGTGATGCGTCCTTGCTTCGCTTCCGCGCTCACATATTTTTACATTTTTGACATTGTGAGCGGGAGTTTTATGCGTGTCATGCTACTTGCTTATACTTATGTGTATCTTTATACACACTGTACTTGTATAGGTGTACTTGTTGCTGCCTACTTAAGTGCACTCGAGCAGCTAAGTAGGCTGCTTTACGTGTTTCATTCATTCCTTCTTCACCGTTATTTGCTTTACTTACATTTCTTTTTACAGGTGCGAGTATATTTGCTTTGCCTTCTTGTTTGTTTCGCCTTGGCGGTACAGCAAAAAAAAAGTTTATTTGCTGAAGCAGACAATTCCTGACAAATTCATCATGTCATTTAATTAATTATGAACAATGTTTTTCACGGTCGTCACAATGTGAATTCTAATGTTTTTTAACATTGACACGCAAATTTTAAATAAATAAATAAACAAATATATTAAATTCTTAACTTAATGAAGTCACTAGAAACGGTGGTAAGAGTATTGTTGAAGTAAACAAGGATGTTTGTGGGGAGAAAGTTTACACACATACTCAGTCGATACTTTGGAAAGGTAAGGCTTTTCAATAGGTCCTTTTCTCTGAAACTTTATTAGAAGATCTTCCGATAGCCGCGAAATTCGCGTACAACTAAAATACAGGTTTCCAAATCAACGACATCAAGTTTAATTTGTAATACGTAGTAGTAGTAGTATTCTTGTTCAGTCCTGGACATAAAGACTTTAAGACATTACAATTGTAACGGTTGTTCTGTAGGACATAAATAGTAAACTTGAATTTTTTGTTTTAGTTTGTGAGTATTTTATTTAAAGAAAGTAAATTTTGATTTATTTTGGAACGAATTTTCGTCATCCCTAGTCAAGCTTGGTTTGAAGACAGACCAGTTTCGACGTTGTGCCATTTTCAGTGTAATTTTTTGTTCTGTCAGGACGGAAATTCGTTCCAAAATAAATCATCTAAATATATGTGNTTTAGAAATGCTCGAAACGTCAATATTTCGAAATTTAAGGACGCTAATTTATTCAAAATTGATACACCTCGGCTCACCATGTAGCTGTAGCTTTCGGAATGGTGAAAAGGCATATATGTAATACTTGCGCCGGGTATTTAATGTTCGGCCCCGCCCGAACTTAGACTTTCTTACTTGTTTATTTTAGTTTGTGAGTATTTTATTTAAAGAAAGTAAATTTTGATTTATTTTGGAACGGAAAAGCTTGGTTTGAGGACAGACCAGTTTCGACGTTGTGCCATTTTCAGTGTAATTTTTTGTTCTGTCAGGACGGAAATTCGTTCCAAAATAAATCATCTAAACATATGTGCATATGTATGTAGCATAAAAAAAAACCCTGAGGTTATGTGCTCTTTGTAGTACACCAAATTGGCATTAAAAATCCAGTTTCCCCAGAAAATAGGGGAAAATAATGTCAAAATAATNACAGACCAGTTTCGACGTTGTGCCATTTTCAGTGTAATTTTTTGTTCTGTCAGGACGGAAATTCGTTCCAAAATAAATCATCTAAATATATGTGCATATCGTTGCCTTAATATAGAAAGGCCCTATCTGCCATCGTCGCTGATTTACAAAAAGTCGTAACTAACTAAAAATCGAAAATTTACGTTTTAATTGATTATGATGCATTTGATCGAATTATGTGGCCTCACATCGTTTTATGCAATAAAAGATTTTAGTTAGTTACGGCTTTGTGCATTTCAGCGACGATGTGAGATAGGGCCTTTCTATATTAAGGCAACGATATGTATGTAGCATAAAAAAAACCCTGAGGTTATGTGCTCTTTGTAGTACACCAAATTGGCATTAAAAATCCAGTTTCCCCAGAAAATAGGGGAAAATAATGTCAAGATAGCCTGCATGTAAAATCGAAAATGCTGCAACAGCACAACAAATTTCAGCCCTGCTAACCGAAAGCAACTGCCAGTGGCGACCGCATGCCCACGGCAGTGGCCATATCGATTACCTGCACAATT